TGGGTCCTAATAGTAACCGCGCAGTGTAATGACGCGACTGATCGAAAACACTGGCCAAGCTTCCAAATAACGCGATAATCCTTATACCTCGCTCGCTTCCAGGTCTGGTTATCGATTATTATTGGTCTTTACGTAAACTCTGGAGTCGCGAAGTTCATCAGGTGCTGTAGCAGCTAGGTATTATATCGTTTGCGCGTACGTCGGTTGCTAGGTGAATAGACGGCATAAGCGCGGTCAATATGCATCTATATAGACGCCTGTAGGTCGGGGGTTGTGCGGTTAGAGTACGTAGCCGTCGTCGATGAGTATATCCATGATAGAGCAGTGAACTAATTATTGTCTGTTGTACAGGATGGCCTCGCTTAGTGCGGTCAGTCGCTCGTAAAGATTCCGCAGCGGGCTGCTATCCGACAGGATAGTAATAAAGGACGTTGTCATTTTCTAGTGTTCATGCACGTGTGTTCATGCTTCTGTGGTTTGCGTTGTATGTATTCACGCGTAAAGCTCCTCTGGAGGTCGAACCAGCTAGGTATAACGCACCGTGCATGTAGTCGTAGTATACTTTATATATACTTTATTCAGATTATGGCCACCACCAACCTTCTATCCATCCATCCATCCATTCATCCATTCATCCATTCATCCATTCATCCATTCATCCATCCATTTATCACTCCACCCACCCATCCATCCCTCCATCTATCCATCCGTCCGTCCGTCCGTCCATCCATCCATCCATCCATCCATCCATCCATCCATCCATCCATCCATCCATCCATCCATCCATCCATCCATCCATCACAGTCCATCCATTCATCCTATCCCACTCATCCAGTCGCGCAATCCATCCCATGCATCCCATCCCTCACTCCATCCTATCCATCCATCATCATTGCCAGTCATCCATCCATCCTCATCCATCTCCAATTCCATCCATGCCACTCCATTCCAAACCAATCCATCCGATGCATTGTCCATCGCATCCAATCCATCCATCCATCTTATCTTCCTTTATCTTCTCTTTCCCCTCGCCTGTCCTGTCTATTATGTCTGTCTATATCTATCTCATCTTATCTACTCATATCTA